ATATAGTAAATGTAAAAAGTAATAAAAAATAATTACAAAAATAGTCATGTTAGCATTTTTTATATGATAAGTCTTTTATATATATATATATATATATTAAGTATTCTTCTTTGGCCGTTCAAAATGAAGAGATACATTGTTGTAAGCCAATAAATAAGATTTTTGGATAATCAATAAAATATATTGGGTCCAAGGGTTGTATGTGCCGTGGTGGTTGAAATGTGCTGCCAGGTTAAAGGCTCAAGGGTTGTAGACAGCAACAAGAAAATATAGAATATTGCTATTGAAAAATCACATTTTGAAGATCCAAGAAGATTAATAATGAAGAACTGAGAAATAATATTGGGTCCAAAAGTGTCGTTTTCTTTGCTGATCGTCCAAAAGTGTCATCTTGAAGTTTAGTTCATGTATTCTTGCGGTGGCAGATGAAACGGTCATTGGGACTCCCATCGCCGAAAAAAAGGCCAACTTTACACCTATAGCGAAGAGAGCTGACAAAAAAAAAAATAATAATAATAATACCGTCTTTTTTTCATTAAAAGAACCATCCTACGCTAAATATATAAAATATAAAATATAAAATATTTCTTTCTAATGGGGAGCTAGCTGAAATAGTCGGCTAGATAGATGGCCAGGCCTAGACATGGACAAAATCTACTCTCTAAATTTCACGTCTCTTAATTTTATCGATTTAAATTTTAAATTTTAAATTTTTACGGTTAAAATTTTTTAAAAATATCATATTTATTTATTTTTTATTATAATTAAGAATTCTTAAAAATTTTACATTTTAATTTAAATTAAAAATTTTAATATACAAAATGAATAAGGTCCTAGCTTCCAATGCCGGCCTTAATTTCATCCCATGTAAAGTATAACATACTATTCTCTCTGTGTCTGCAGTTTTTTCTTCAACATGGGGTCCTTCTGATATTATTATTAAGTATACACACGTAATGCATAGCATAGAGTTGGGAGGTTGACGACAGCGTTACTGAATACGACATATAAGATTAATACAAAGCATCTAATTAAGAGAAAGGACAACTTCACTACTGCACTAAAGAAACATGATTTCTGGGAAAAACGTCACAAATTCCAGGTTACTTTTATTTGGTCAAGCGTCATCTTTCTCTGTCTGGTTTGGCCCCATTGGAAACTCGTTAATTTTTGTGAAACTGAATTTGGTTTCGAATGCTTGTAGCTTTTTTTTTTCTTTTTTCTTTTTTGCCACTGAAAAAAATCTTTAATTCCTGTGAAATTGGATTTGTTTTGAACGGTTATAATCTATTGAACATCTTTGATACACCATTTATATCACAATATTATATATATATATATATATCTATCTATTTGTATTGTGGGAATTATTGGAAGTCCAAGTTGCCCAACATCCCAACATGCAAATAATCAAAGTTCATGAAAATTACATCTCAAACTAAATTAGTACATTGCAACCTTATTTAAGTTCATTTACACCCAAACTCAAAAAAATTTGAACCCAAGTTATAACTTTATTCAAGTTCATATTCTTTTATAAAATTTGAGTTTTAACTTGAGTTTAAGGCTAAAATCTGAGTTCAAATTTCTCATTCAACTCAAGTTTCTAAACTCAAACTCAAGTTAATGAACAATATTTTTTTTTATTTTTAATAACGCCATAACTTTTTCGTTTTAATTTCGATTAAGATGATTTTTTTTCTATGCTTTCTATAAAACTCCACCCATATACCCTATTAAAATTTTCTATTACTATTGAGTTTTTATTAAAATACTATCCAAATACAAATTTAAGTTTTGACTCATCCAAATATAAACTCAAATAGATTCTCAATTCAAACCATAACTCAAAATGTGCACATCTAAACACAAACTCAAATTATAGTCTCAACTTAAACTATACTCAAATACACTTTAATTCAAATCAAAATCTGAACTTTAAGTCATTGTAACTCAAAAAATACAAATGAACAAGCTCTGCATGATTTGAATTTAGAATTTTTAAGGTTTTTGAGGGTCGAATTTAAGCAAAAAGCTGATAGAGATCGCGCATAATGACCATCACTCGTTTCGAAGACATCCTCACATGCCTTGATTTCTTTCCTAGCTAGAACAAATTACTAACAAATGAATTGGAACCAAACATCTAAACTTCTAAGGTCGTGGCTTAATGACAAGTTTTTCTCTTATTTTATGTCTACGTGGAAATCAATTATGTGACATCCCTAAAAAAAATTATGTGACCAAGTCTCTTTCTATTTTTATTTTTTTTTATTTTTTAATCTGGAGTAGTAGATTCAAACTCTTCATCTTAGAGTTAAGTTAGAAACGAAATTACTTTTAAACTACGCTTGAACCTGCAACCTGAGTATTTTCACTTAAATTAAATCCCATTAAATTATTCACCCAAAAAAAGAGGAAAAATGAGAATGGAAAATACCGAGTACTACAAAATCTAAAGAGGATCTAACACCCATATTATTCCATGCATTGGATATGAGAAGCGGCGTGGGAATAAGAGGGCGAAATGAAATCTTCGTTCAGTTTGATATCCGACGCATGCACGTTCGATGGAAAGAGACAAGCCACCCGAGTGCTCTACTTCAGTTGTTTGTCCCAAAATCGAACGGTGGCTGAACTGTCCACGTCGCTCGCATTTAATGAAACTGTTTCTAGAGGATTTCATGCATGATTAGACCACTTCATGGTTAATAAGGCTGTTTCTCAAAGGAGTGGTAGCTTTCCACTCTGATCAATTTTTTTTTTTTTTTTTATAACCAAAGTAGGCCCCACCGAGTCCCTAAATTAGATCTGGTGGTAGATTTTAGGATGTACATATTTTTTTCTCTCTTTGTTTTTTCCCTTATTATTACTCTTGTTGTTGTTGTTGTAAGAAAAAGAAAGAAGGAATATATTTAGCATATGGGCTGTCGATGAAAATCCTCCTAAAGTTGCAACTTACCATGTTGATGTGGTTTAAGGCAAATATTAATCACTTTTACGACGGAACAAATTAATGTCTTTGAAAGAGAATACAGAAACCTTATTAGAGATTACGACAAATCTACCATATGTCTTAAGTTTGTAAGTTAAGAGAAGTCTTAGAATCTAAACATGAATTCTAGTCCTCTAAAAATTAGATGAATTTTGACGAAGGGAGCAGATTTCGGGACGTCCTACAGATCAGACGGTACAAAAGACGCATTTTAAAATTCAAAGGATGTCGTATTGATAAGTAACGCAATTTAAAGAAAAATTATGTAATTTATTCAAATAAGGGGAAAAAAAGCAAAATGTAAAAGCACAAAGAGAGAGAATAAAACCGAGGAATAGATTATAGACTGTAGTCAATAGCGGTGAAAAGAGAGGAATATGGGAGTTCTCTAAAGGGAGTAACCCAAAAGACAAAGCGGAGGGTGGTTTATTATTGCAAGAAGAGTTTCCCATTAAAGCATGGGGCTCATGGTATCACATGGAATGTCCAACAGTTGATATAATTCTCATGAGGCAAATTTATTGCAAAACCCCTCTCAATTCACAAAAATGTATTGTATATTGATGAAGCTGACAGACTTGTTCCTATCCTTTTTGTCAAAATTCTTTCCACCAAATAGAATTCATTCCATCTGATCCCAAATAATAAATTCACCTTTTATTTTATTTTATTTTAGCTTGAAGTTATTGACAAAAAAGGATAAAAACCTCAAAATGTCACCACTCATTGTAAGGTAATTTATCAATAGCAGCTACCAATGATTGATAAGTACAGTAGCACAGATGAATCCTAGTTACTGTTTATTCACTGTAGTCTTTCTGCTGATCTTCTTCCAAGAGTAATGCAAAGAAGAAATCCAAATTTGTAAGTGTCTCATTGGCCACAAAAGGGGGGAAAAAAAACAAATAAGGCAAAATCTCAAGAAACATATGGGCAAAATCCATGCCGAGGAATTCTTGTAAATTATTTTCTCAAAGTGTGAATTAAAAGGGGGGAAGAAAATAGCAACGACAAGTCCCCAACAAATCATGGGGACTCACATCAAGGACGGCAGATGTAGTTACCATCGAAAAATATAGGAAAAATCAGCACATGGAGAGGGTGATGGAGACATACTCTTAATTTTGTGAATAATTGAGGGGGAGAAATTTGTGGATGTGAAATTTGGTTTGGTTTTGGGAGGAGATAAGATATGAGAATTATGAACATACACAATATGACAGGGAAAGACTTTCAGCTACCATATCTTCAAGTGGCCAGACTTTGTCTCCTATGTGACAAATTAAAGAAAAAAACAATTTATATATATATATATTTATAGCTACAGCCTTGAGGAGGACTGGTACGGCTATGATTCTTTTTTTACAGCCAAACAAAGTGTTTGAACATCTTATCGCATTTGTGATTTGAATTTAATCCCATATTGAAGATTAGTGGCATTTTTGTTCTTGTTTTTCTTTTCCAAGCAATAAGATGACTACTAATGGGATTAAAGTTACTACTGGCCCAGCACTGGAGGGCGAAGGTAAGAATTCAAAAACATGCAATTTCATCTTTTCATGTTGACACTCACACAATGACGCAGCAATTAATGCATTAAGAATCACATAAATAGCTTTCGGCTTGAGGTTTAGAATGTTTTACAAGTCCAAATGGGTTACGACTTACAAGACCAAAAAGGGAAAGGGAAAAAAAGAAAATTGAAACCTTTCGTCCATCAGAGGACCAAAGGGAGAAAATGATAAATTACAAGAAATTCAGGGAATACAAGTGTTCAAGAACCTATAACTATTCCACCAAAATTTAGTTAACAATTCAACTAAAAGACTAAATTAAAGACGACACCACCAAAAATTTTAAGTGATCAGGCACTGCACACCATTTTTTAAGTTTTACGCGATGAAGATTTAAACAAGCACGAGCTTTGCCAAGTGGATAAATAGAGAGGGCATAATAAAAAATTCCCAATAGCGGTAAATCAATCAAATTACTGAAGAAAAACATATAAACCGAAAAGTTGGGTCCTCATTATTATTATTATTATTCAAAATAAAGGCAACCGGTATCTGCCAACCATCCAGAAAATCACTTGCAGACACCGAAAGACAAATAATACGACAAGAACCTCTAGAAGAGGAACAGTCTCCACTTCTTGTATTGAAACATCTATGGGAAATGCAAATGCAACTATGTTCAGAGATCGTTCAGCAAAAAAAAAAAAAAACAAAATTATGCTCAGAGATCCACTCTAGTTAACAATAGTTACAATATGCAATAAGTTGCTCAGGGAATGCTGCGCTGGTAGAGTGGCAAAGCTCCCAAAGCCTCCCGTTCTGCTCTCTCACGCTTCACCTGCAAAACAGAAGAATTTTTAGCGGAGATTCAATACAAACTTACAAGCCTGACAGCCTCTTTTGATAAACATTCATCACATTCTAATTAACTTCAACAACTTTCGACACCCATTTTTTGTACTGCAATATCTTGTTCTATTCACTGTGAAACAACCATAGTAGTACTTTTCTGGTAAGCTAGGTATTTCTTGCTGAACCAAAAATGCAATATCATGTTATATTCACAGAAAACAACCATAGTAGTAGTTTCCTGGTAAATATTTCTCACTCGACCAAAACTTGGCTAAAAGTTCTACTTCAACATCCATTTTGTTTGTACTGCAATATCGTGTTATATTCACAGAAACAACCATAGTAATAGTTTACCCGTAGATGTTTTCTTGCTGAACCAAAATGCGGCTAGTAGTTCTACTTTAACATCAATTGTTTATGCTCCATATGTTTTATTCATAATATGATAGCGGTAGTAGTTGTTTTAGTACTAATGAATATTTCTCACTGGACCAAGAAACAGCTAAATAATTCTATTCACATATTCCTGTTATCTACAAAAGGTTCATCTTTCAGCTTGTGCATTCTATTCTCAGTACAAAGACAGCATTCAAACAAAGAAAAACTTAAAATGCAACATATAAGCAAAGCTTCGAATACAAAATGTAACCGTTATAGCAAATCGTATTCTTATATAGGTGGTGTACTTACCAAAGCCAACATTTCTTGAAGGTAGCTCCTGAATGGTGTTTGCATAGCCTGAAAATGACAAATACAAAACTGAGAAGGACAGCAATATGGACCACATTAAAGATGGGACCTGTGTCCAGGAGGGAACTTGCCCCTCAATGCAGCAAACTATCAACTCTTATCGGACCGGTTGCAGCCCATGTTCATAGCTAGATAATCGGGACAAAATGTTCTACATGAGCTGTATGTATATATATATTTGTCTCCCCAATGTCAACTTTTCAGTTATACCAGTGATTTCCAAACATATCGGATTAAACATATATGTCAGAGAATTCGGTATAGCTAAGCTTTATGTGAGCTAAAAAATACATGCTAAAAAAAAACATGTTTTGGATCAAAACTTGATAGGGGAAATTAAGAAATTATCAAATGACAGTTAGAAATGTGGAAATTGAAAAGGGGGAAATGAAATGGATAATAAGAAACAGAAAAAAAAAAAAAAAAAAGAGATAACCTGAAGATCCTCGGCCAGGTACTGGTGCTTCATGGAGAGGTCCATGGCCCGCTTGAGACGCTGATGGCGCGCGTCCACAATCTCCCTCGGAAGCCGATTCAGAGCCTCCTTCACGTCCAGATCGTAGTAGGGGTCGTACAGATCGTCGTATCGGAGCCCTAATTTCATCGAAACCCAAAACTATTAGCATAAAAAATCAAGCTTTAAGGTACACAGGATTAAGAATTGGGGGGAGAGAGAGAGGAGGAATTAGGCTTTTCAGATGAGCAGACCGTAGTTGCGGAGGCGTCTGGAGAGAGATTTCATGTGCACGGCGGCCAACCGGCTCTTCTTCGGATCAAGAAGCCCCTGCAGAAACGACGACATTTTTGGTGTCGGATTATGAATCAATCAATCAAACTCTGGTTTGTTCTCGAAGGACCGGCGATTCTCGATGGGGGAAGAGATTACGGTGGCTAGGGACTTACAACTAATGAATGACGTTTTCAAAAGAAAAAAAAAATATTTGTGGATATGTTAAAAGTTTTTTTAACAGTTAAATTTACGTATTTTTAAACTTTTACACGTAAATTTAACGTAAAAAAAATTTGATTTCAGTTACCAGTAAAAAATAAAAAAACCAGAGAGATAGAGAGCAAGATAAATAGGCTTACCGTAGGGCTTTACTTGTCCTTATCTTATTGGGCTTTACTTGTATCTAAGGATTGGTAATGTGGGCCGTCATAAAGAGACCCAAACAAATTTCATTTTGATATCATTTTTTATATTGAAATTTGAGTTTGATATTTTTTATTTTAAAAAATTTTATATCAGTATCTCAATTTTTTTTAAAATTTTTTTTTGATACCTTAAAGTTAGTTTTTAGGACATAAAAAGATAAAATTACTTTTATTGTAAAAATTTATCTATTAACTGAAATTTTAAAGAAAAAAAGGATTTTAAAATTTGTTATACCTGTAATCAAACACCCAAAAACTCATTAAAAGAACCTATTTCTTTCTTCAAAATTCCAACGTTTGCATTTTATTTTTCATTCGTGCTTTTCCTTTTTTTTTTGGTGCTCTTCCTTTCTTCCCTCTTGAAGTTGTTTTGAATATTATTTTTAACTAATTCTTGTGGTACTCGATGTACAGTACTCATTGAAATATTTTATGTTTTTAGTTACATGTATAACAATTTTTAAAATTATTTTTCTTCAAAATTTTGGTTATTAGATGAATTTTTATAATAAGGATAATTTTGTCTTTTCGTGTCTAAAAAATGGCTCCGATGTACCAAAAAAAGATTTTTTAAAAGGTCATGGTACCGGCATGAAATTTTCAAAAACAGAGGGTACCAAACTCAAATTTTGATATAACAGAGGGTACCAAAATAAATTTTCCCAATATACAAATACCTCTTTTTTTTAATAAACAGGTACAAATACCTCTTTAAGTATATGACTTTAGATTTTTACCCCTTACTCTTGATTAATATTATTTTTATTTAAAAAAGTATGTTAGTTAAAAGTATTAATCAATAGTAAGGAGAAAAAGTCAGACCCATGCACTCTAAAAAGATCATGACACGCCCCCAAAGAGAGGTTAGTGACGTGAAAACTTGTTTAGAAATTAAACCTGATTAAGAAAGTGATTAAATGATTAACAGTTCAAAATTTGATTTCAAATATGAAATATTCAGGTGTTTCCAAACAAACCCTACTATTTTAAGGAAATTGAGTTTTTAAGAAAAAGTGAGGCGGACTTTACAGTTACTATTAAGATCAACGGAAATAGTAGAAAATATGCCAATATGAAAAGCTTAAAAAAGTATATAGGCAAATTTTTAGTTATAAAAATTAATAGGCCATTACTTGTCAAGTTATGGTTCATAACCAGATAAGTTATGGACAAACTTGTCAAGCTATGGTTCATAGCCAGACAAGTTATGGACAAAAACCGTGAATTATGGACAATAACTTGTTAAGTTATGGTTCTTAACCAGACAAGTTATGGATAAAAACCGTAATTTGGCCTATTTATTAACTTATGTAAACTATTGGCCTATTAATTTTAATTCATCTCAAGTCTTGGCCTATTTTCCTCTTTCTCCCTAAGATCAACATCAAAAATTAACCTCCAACATCCACAGGGTTTACACTTGTGCATACATAAATAAGTACATTAAAGTAAATAACTGATATCAACCACAGTCTAGTAGAATTTAAGGGTTACAACCCATAGTTAATACATGCCTTAATTGAATTTGATAATGAATGAAAATACTTCACCGCTTCCTTTCTTCTAGAACCGAGTTCCTCACCTATTCCACGTTACTTCTTGCATCGCCTGGGTGAGGTTAAATACATTTAAAACATAGGAAAAATGAGCGAAAGGTCCAGTAGGATAAAGTTTATAAAACTGAATAAATACGTAAATATATAAAATGAAATAATCATGCCCGAAAGAAATCAATCGGACTAAACAACATTTTTCTAAAAGGTAAATAAACTTAAGTTTCAGTTTACAGGCAACCAGCAAGTAATTTAATGATAAATTACTTATGACTAAAAGTACGGCCTTATCACCACCGTAGTGGCCCATCCGGGTTTCGAGTTTTGCCCCCAAGGATACGATCTCCATATCCTGTCTAGGCCATCAGCGGGCTTACCAGTTCGCAATATATCTTATCTTAAGAAAATATTCATTAAAACTTAAAATCAGTTCATTTTAAGATCAATATCAATAATCAAGCTATTGTCTTTAAACACTTTTCTTTATCAAACGTGTTTTTATCTTTAAAAACATTTACAACGGTCAAAACACTTTAAAACAAGCTAACAAGAATATGAAAAGGATATCCTACCTCTCGGATGTCAAACATGTCGCTAACTTTTCGTCACCCTAACCTCCGCTTTCCTTAAAGCTTTAATATTCGATATTCTCCACTAGCTTTATCACAAAAGTAATGTCTTAAGATATATTTCTCATTCCTAAAACGAATTAAGCTCAATCATGTCTAATTGTTTCCTATTAGTGTGCCTTGACTTAAATCTAAGTTTCACAAACGACTTTATAATTCAGTTTGATGGTTCTTTAAAAATTGAAATCCAATTCATTGGTTTGATTTCTCATTTAATTTCGGCTTAAAAACAAGTTTTTAAAGAAATTTCGACAGCATGCCAAGATAAATAAAGAAAATGTCAAATATGCAATTCAAGTTCAATTTCAAAATAAATTCTCTAAAAATCATCAAAATCAGTCTCCAATCAATTGAACAAATCTAATAATTGAAAAAACCCCCAAATTCAATTCAATTCTAACAATAATTGTTCAAATTTAAACCCTAACTCAAAATTATTTAAATTTAATCAAAATTATAAATTCTCAAATCAATAACTCAAATTCAAGTATGGATTTTCAAAAAAAATTTACCTTAAAGTGATTGAAGCTCGTTTCTTTCCATTTCTCTCGTTTTTTTTTTCTTCTTCTCTATTTCGGCAGGGACTCCAAGAGAGAGAGAGAGAGAAAACCCCAAAGAGAGAGAGCATGGGAGAGAGAAACCAGCGAGAGAGGGAGAGAGAGAGTGGTGGTCGGCGGCGAAGGAAGAAGGAGAGAGAGAGAGATATACGGTGGAAGAGAAAAGAAAGAAAGAAAGAGAGAGAGAGTGACAGCGGGAAGGAAGGGAAGGGGAAAAAGAAAAAAAAGAAAAGGAAAGAAAAGAAAAAGAAAGAAAAAAGGAAAAAGAAAAAAAGAGAAAAGAAATAGGGAAAAGAAAAGAAAATACATTAAAATTAAGTATATTTTTAAAAAATTTTAGGGTAAAATTATAAATACTGAAAATAATTTAAAGTTATTTAATTAATTGAGAAAATTAAATTAAACACACTAATAATTTATAATTTAACATAATTAGACATATTTAATTTTAAAAGGCGTTACATATCAATAATTTTCTGTTATAGGGATTATCGGTACTGAAAAATTCTTTAATATGATATGAAAACATTTTTATCGTCATTATTTTATTTTATATTTTTTGAATGAAAATGTGGGGGTGAGGCGATTAGTTGTAAGTACCTCCTCAGATGTGATTATATAGTGACCCCAATATGGTAACATGTTAAGATATATCTACGTTAAGTAATAACTACTTGCATTGAAAGACAAATTATTCACGTCAGCTTAATCTACCTAACAATCATTGGGCCGATTGTCTAAAAATAGTCTCAAATGCTTCTAATCAGAACTTGAACTTAAGACCACCCTTTTGTCAAACCATTTGGGAGTAAGCACAATGCCACCAGACCGTATCAGTATGTTTAGATCAAATTTTATCAGGTTTCCACATGTATTTGGTATAACTATAAACATGATTTAATATTTACGTACCGTACAGTATTGGTACATAATTCTTGCTCACAATTTTTTTTTTTAATAAGTAAGAATTCTGTTATTTCTACAAGACCCTGATTTTAAGAACTGTTTTGGTCGTTAAAATTAATGTAAAAGCCTTTTAGCCTTTAATCCTAAAGCCTCAAATTGACTTGGTGAAGATGAAGATAAGCTAAAACTCTTCTCCCTCGCCATAACCATTGAAAAAATGAGTTAATTCTACAATATCAATCATTAATCATTATCGAATTGCTATTAATGAGCTGCCTAGTATAGATGCTTTTTCATACTTGCTATATATATGTTTATGAGTTTAGTGTTAAATAAATTAACGTTAACTCATTGCTGGTTGAGACGTACAACAATTTCATTAAAAAAAAAAAAGTGTATGAAATGATAAAGGTATAATTTTTAACCAAAAAAAAGTTTGCGTGAATGTTTGTACATTAATATTTAATATAGAGGAGGTAATTTCAGTCTTCTAATTAGTACCCCCCACACGCGTACTCTTGCATGGGCCTTCACCATTTCACCACAGTTAGGGGAAAAAGAAGAAGTGTTGCGATCGTCCAAAAGAAACGTAAAGAATCACGTGTGGTCCACGATGTGAGATTTCCATACATTTTTTTTTTTCCTTTTTTTAATGCAACACAACCCATCTACCAGTTTCTTACTCTTTAATTCCTTGTGATTTAGTCTTGGGATATTATTTTACGTAGGGGTGGCAATTCGTGTTACGTGTCGTGTTTTGATCGTTTTTTTTTAAATTTACAGTCAAC